GGGATGGACCCGGGCTGCTGTTGCTGCGGCTTCGTGTCTAGGCATTCCAGAGGGGGTTCGGAGCAGATGGGGTCGGAGGACCGCGCTGCATCGCCGATGCATCGCCGATGCGGCTCGATGTGGGGCCCGATTGGCTTCACGCCGACGTTGCCGATGCATCGCCGACGTCGACGATGCATCTCCAGTGCATCGCCGATGCATCGCCGATGCATCTCCGATGTATCGGCGATGCGGCGCGATCCTCCGACCCCATCTACTCCGACCCTATCTAGGAGGCCTCTATCATGATACCTCAGCCCCGCCAGTCAACCCCCAAGCTGGGGATAGGACCCGCGAATCACGAAGGGAACAGCGTATCTTCCCATCTGGAGGGGTAGATCGGCCACTTGGGCCAAGGCCATACCACTGGTGATGGACGGGGAGAGGCTCGGCGATGCTCAGGGGGTGTCCATGGTCCGCAGTCGCCCCCAGTTTTTTTTGCTGGCGAGAGCCAGAGGGCCTTTGGAGCATTCCGAACGAGGCCCACACCGCCCCAGGGGCTCCCATATGGTACCAGAAGCTGGGGGCACCCTTGGCCAACAGCACATCTGGCACCGCCCGACCGTCATCCTCCTCCAGGGGGAGGATGCCTTCCTCCAAGAGGAGGACACACAGATCCCCTTCTCCTCTCGTCTCCTCCTCCTCCTCCTCCTCCTCCTCCTCCTCCTCCTCCTCCTCCTACTCCTCCTCCTCCTCCTCCTCCTCTTCCTTCTCCCTCCTCCTCCTCCTCCTCCTTCTCCTCCTCCCCTCCTCCTCCTCCTCCTCCTCCTCCTCCCTCCTCCTCCTCCCCATCCCCCTCCCCTCCCCCTCCCCCTCCCCTCCTCCTCCTCCTCCTCCTCCTACCTCCTCCTCCTCCTACCCTCCTCCTCCTCCTCCTCCTCCTCCTCCTCCTCCTCCTCCTCCTCCTCCTCCTCCTCCTCCTTCCCTCCTCCTCCCTCCTCCTCCTCCTCCTCCTCCTCCTCCTCCTCCTCCTCCTCCTCCTCCTCCTCTCTTACGCTGGGCTCCTCCTCCTCCTCCTCCTCCTCCTCCTCCTCCTCGTCCCTCTTCCAGTTGGCATTCTGGCTCACGCGCCGCCGCCGCTGGGTCGCCCCGCCGACCCGCCGCCTCGCCGATGCCGCCGACGACCGACGCCCGCTCCGCGAAGGCGACGCTGGACGCTGCGCGCGGCGCAGTGCTGGCGACGCACGCGGCGGCTGGGCTTGCGAGCGGCCAGCGGGAGGCGGTACGCCTCATCCGCGCCGCCGAAGGCCTGCTGCGCACGGCGGTGGCTGTGCTCGCCACGCCCTCCTCCCCCGCGCTCGTCGCGGCGCCCCTGGCGGATCCAGCGGCTTCCTCGCGCAGGAGGCGGCGGCCCCGCGGCCGCGGCGGCTCGAAGGGCGGGGACGAGAACGGCAAGCACTACATCGTCGCTGACGGCATGGACATCGACAAGGGGTCGGCGGGCGAGGTGGCCACGGGGGCTGGCGCCCCGCCTCAGCCGATGCTGGAGGACGACGCTTGGGCCGACGAGCTGCCCGTGGTGATGCAGGCTCGTGGCCCGCCTGCCAGCACAGACCAGCGCGAGGGCAAGGGCAAGAACGCGGGCAAGGGCGGCGAGAGCGGCGGCAAGGGCAAGCTTGGCCACCTCGAGGTGTGGCAGCTGAGGAACCTCGTCGTCCGCCTGCGGGAGCGCGCTGGGCTGCCTCCCGCTCCCGAGACGGCCCCCTTCGACCACGGCGTGCTGGTCGCAATGGCCGTCGAGCTCGAGGAGTTGGCGGCCTCGTTCGACGGCACGCGTGGCGGGGGCTCCGGAGCGGCTGGTGGCCGTCGAGCGCGCGGTGGTCCACGTGGTGATGGTCCAAGGCCCGGGGCGGCCGGCCGCGGGAGGAGCAGTGGGGGGGGTGGTAGGCGGCCTCGCCGCTTCGCGTGCAGGGCCCTCGCCCCTTCCCCCTCCCGCGGGCATGGACGGCATTGATAAGTCCGTCCGCGTGCGAGCTCGACTGCATCGAGTTCGCGGTCGGGGGGTCCTGGCACCTCAGGTGGTGACCAGGCCCCCCGCGGCGGGAGGCGGGGTACACGCGCCCTCCTGAGGCTCGGTCATCCTCGCCCCTCTTCCTCCCTCTTCCTTCCTCGAGCTTCTACGCGCGCGTGGGTGAGATAGTCCGTCGTTTTTGCTGCTGCTGCTGTTGCTGCTGCTGTTGCTGCTTCTCTGCGTGATGATGCGGAGCAGGGAAAGAGGAGGCATGATGAGCGATGAGGACCAGGGGGAGGAGGAGGGTGGGGCGCATCCACGCAGCCGTCCTTCGCGAAGGTGGTAAGCAGATGCTGTGGATTCGCCCTGGTGGGGGCGCCACCTCCGCGACCGGCGGGAGGAGGGACGAGGGAGGAGCAGGGAGGAAGGGGGGGGGTCGGAGCCGACCTCTTTTCGGGCGCGGCCCCGTGAGGATTTCGAGGCGGATCCGGCCCTGGCCGCGACAGCGCCCCGTGCAGGAGGCCCAGGAAGGCCAGAACAATCAGGAGGGAGAGAAACACACAGACACAATGAACCGGCGATCCCCAGGACAATATGGGAAAATATGGGAAGTGGGGGGAACACGAAAATCCAGCAAAATATACGAAAATATAAGGAGTCCAAGGATTTGTGTGTGTATTTCTCTCTCTCTATATATGTGTGTGTGTGTGTGGGTGCGTGCGTGCGTGCGTGCGTGCGTGCGTGCGTGCGTGCGAGCGTGCGTGTGTGTGTGTTTGTGTGTGTTGGGGCCCCTTCAAGCAAAGAAGCACACGCCAGCATCGCCCCTTTGACGTGCGAGGAGCGCGGCGAGGTCTGGGGTTCGGGGAGCGTGGCCGCAGCAGGGGAGGGCGACGGCCGCTTCCTCAACGACGTCTGGGTCTGCGCGTTGCGCGCCGACGCTGGCGCCGGCGCCGGAAAAAAAAAAAAAAACACTGGCCCGCGCGGTGCCTCCGCACGAGGGGGGCCGAGGATCGAAGAAGGAGAAGCGCCACACATCATGTCATAAAAACTTTGGGCGCCCCACGCGGCTTTCTTGGATCCGCGCTGGCCCCCCCCCCAGGCAGCGCCTCCAGCGCCGCCCCTGGCGCGCTCCGCGCGCCAGGGAGGGGCGTTCCTTCCTCCTTAGAGGAGGGGCCAGGAGCGAGGAGCGAGGTGCGGGGGCGACGGAGGGCTGCCGCAAGGGCTGGGTGGGTTGGGGTGGGGGGGGGCAACCACCTCTGATCTGTCACTTCTTCGCTCCTTCTCCCTTTTTTATGTTTTGTTTTGTTTTGTTTTCTCTCTCTCTCTCTTCTCTCAGGCTCTCCTTGAGCGCGCACGCGCCTCATCGTAGCTTCTGGTTTACGTCGGGTCGGCCTGTTCGGAGCTTCCTGCTCGCTGTGCGTGAGGTCCGAGGAGGAGCGAGGCTCGAGGATGGAGAGGGAGGAAGGGAGGAGAAGCGAGAAGCGAGGAGGAGCATCGAGGATCGAGCAGCGAGGGTACTGAGGGTACTGACTATACCGAAGGCCGAGGGAAGCGCTCGGCACAACGGCCGTAAGCAGAGGGCTCAATCCTCCTCTTGGGAGGAGGAGGAGGAGGAGGAGGAGGATTTGCCTTTACCGAAGATGAGGATCGAGGATCGAGAATCGGAGAGGAGGACCTGCGAGCGAGAGGAGGAGGAGGACGACCGGGCACCGGGGAGAAGGAGGAGGAGGATCGAGGAGAGGGGAGATCTAGGATCGAGATTCTGGAACTACGAGGTTGAGGAAGGTCGATGAGGAGGATCGAGGATCAAGGAGGAGGAGGTGGAGGAAGAAGAGAAGTGAGGAGGATTCTGGAAGAGAGTCGAGAATCGAGAATCGAGAATTGAGGATCGAGTAGGGCGAGGAGGAGGTTCGAGAAGGAGGGGGAGGAGGAGGATCGAGGAACGAGGAGAGAGGGAGGGTTCTCCATTGTTCCGCCTTCCGCCCAACTCCTCACCCATCGCCCCTCCTCCCATTCTACTCCGCTCCACCCGGCCCAGGTTGCCATCCACATTCATGTCTTATCGTCTTTCTCCAAGCTCGCCCCCACAGCTCCTTGCCAATGCTCCCATCACGCTCCACACCGCCTCCATGTTGTTCCACTCCTCTCCGCTGGCCCTCCCTCTGCTCCCGGGCGCCATGCCGCACACTCATCCCCACCCCGATCCCCTCTTCAGTCCTCTGCACTCCAGCCCACTCTTCGTCCCAGTACTGCCCTCGCCTTCTTCTTTATACACGCTCCACCCCGCTCTTTTGCACCTCTTCCCTCTCGTGCGTCTGACTCCTCCCTGCGCCTCTCACTCACACCTTCCTACTCTGGCCCACTTCTCTGCACAGCACGCACGCCTCTTTTCCGCTCTCACCCCAGTGCGCTCCTATCGCATTGGGCCCCCAGACGTGGCCCCGGCTCCGCCAGCGCCTCAAAGACGTAACAGGAAAGAGAAGGGTAGAGGGGCAAAAAGAGAAAACATAACGAAAGAGGGGAGAAGGAAAAAGAGGAGGACGAGGATCAGGAAGGGACAAAGCACCCCGGCACAAGCAGTCGTCGATCCCCCGGGAAAAATATAAATTATGTGCCAAGCGGAGGGGAAAACGAGCATCCAGAAAATGTGGAACATGTGGGGAACCTTTGGATCCGCGTCTATCTTCAAGTCGGGCATGTCCGTCTACAGGAGGAATATTGCAGACTAGTCAAACATTTTATTGGGGACGATTTTTTTGTTGCTCTCTCTCTCTCTCTCTCTCTCTCTCTCTCTCTCTCTCCCTACTGTTGTCGAATAGTTGCTTGTTTTCCATATTTTTATTTTTTTTCCAGGGTAAGAGGAGTTGCCTGACCTCAGGCTATCTATTTGAGTGTCCCTGGGCCCGGGGCCCCCTCCCAAGGAGGGGGCGGCAGGACGAGCAGCTCCAGCACGCGGAGGAGCAGGACGGGGGGGGGTGGGCGCCTCCCGCGCACCGCCGCCCCCTCAATCAGCGCAGGACCGGAGGCGGAGGGCACCCCATCCGCGCGCCTCCGGGGACGCTGCCTCTCGACGAGTCCCCCGACCCTCCATATTTCGGCCCCTCCCTAGGAGGCAACCACTGGGAGGGCTCCGTCGGCTACGCCAGAATCGGCCACGGACTAGGCAGGGTCATGCCAGATTCAACGGGATTGAGCCGGATTGAGCGGGATTATGCCTGATGGAGCCCGGTTAAACCGGATTTCGGATCAGGGCATAGTCGGAATTTGGCCTCCCAGGATTTGCATCCGAACCCTCCAACTCTCGGGCGACGAAATCTACATGAGGCGTTCCAGAACGGGCCCTGCCTTCGAGGATCGAAGGATTTGTCATCTCCTCCTCGGCGGAAGGGCGGCAGAAGTAAAACGAGGCCGCCTCCGCGGGCGGAAGCTGGCGGAAGTTTGCGGCAGTAATTTCATGCGCCCCAAGGAGATGGCAACAGTTGTTGGGTTCAGAGTTTCCGGAATCCTACATGGACACTATTCCCTGGTCAGGCCCACCATGAGCCCGTGAGCCGTGTATACGCCCTCCTGGCCAAGCCAGGAGGGCGCAGCTGGGTTCAGGGTGGGCCTGTCCAGGGAGCAGTGGAATAGATTTCGTCATCCTAAATTTAGCCACGCGCATAAGGGGTAGGGGGAGGTGTGAATCGGGGATGGACAGACCCCCCTTTAGTAAAACGTGGTTTAGTGAAAACGACCTGAGGCCCAAACCTGGCGGGCGCAAGCCTGGAAAATGACGGCCACGGCGCCCTCTCGAGAACCGAAAACGGACAATTCACTAATCGACGTGTCACTGTTGGAGGCCTGTCCACCCCCGAGTGAAGGCTTCTTTGAAGCACCGTGCTTCTCAGAAGGCGCGGACCTCATCTACATCCTTTAAAGCTCTCCCGTGTCTGCCCGGGGGGCCCGCGGCGGGTAGACAACCGCTGGCGGCATGCGGTCGACAGGGAAAGGGAAAAAGGCCGGCGTCGTCTGAGGAGCGGCCCCCTTCTAAGAAGCCTTCCCCCCTCCCTCCACTCCCTTGTGCGCGCCGCCAACCAATCAGGAGCGAAAGAAGGACGTACATGTACATGAATCCACGCTGGTTTCGAGACCACGCATTGCACAAATGTTCGTATGACGCGGCCGGTCTCGCGAATCGAGGGGCCGTGCTCATGTACATAACTGGGCGCGTACGTCCTTTGTGCGCGCCGCCAACCAGTGCGACCGCCAGTCCGATCCCCAGGTCAGGGCCCTCCTGGAGCCCCCCGGGGCCCTCCAGGGGGCCCTCCTGCGGGGCCTCCTGCGGGAGCTCCTGCTGGCGGCCTTCTTGGCCTCCTGCTTTTGGGCAGGGGAGGGGCCCGGAGCTCCGACGTGGCGAACAAGTTGGGAGACATCGAGAAAAAAAAAACTCACGGGAGGAAAAAACACACAGACACAATGAGTCTTCGATTCCTCAGAAAACGTGGGAAAGCATGGGAAGTGGGGGGGAAGACAGAAGCACACAGAAAATATGGCAACATATGGCGCATCTTTTCATTTTGTGTCTCTATTTGTGTGTCCTGGGGCCCCTTCAACGACGACTGGAGCCCTGGACCTCCTCCTTTCTCGGCGCCACGTCAAGCGCCGGATCGGCACGTGAGGGCGCCGGGGCCCGAAGCCCTGCGAGAAGGCTTGGCTCCAAAACATGATACGCGATCTGCAAGGCCCCGGGGGATGGGATCGGCGGTCGTGTCGAGGGGCATCCCGCCTCTTCCCTGACCTTCCACAGTGCTAAGAAATAGCCCGCCTGACTTGTAGATCCATCCGGGCTGCTAAAAACAACAGTGATTGGTTGACTGGATCTTGGATGCAGAGGTCCTGGTGCTGTTTGTTAGCCCTCCGTGAAGGCTCTAGGCCCAGATGGGGTCAGAGTAGGAGGGGTCGGAGGAACGCGCCGCATCGCCGATGCATCGGCGATGTGGCTCGGTGCGAAGCCCGATTCTCTCCACGCCGACGTCGGCGATGCATTGCCAACGTCGCCGCTGCATCGTCGATGTATCGGCGCTGCAGATGTAGCGCGAGCCTCCGGCTCCATCCACTCGGGCCCCATGTGGGAGGCCTCTAATCGAGCAAGGGGACCGACTACAGAATTGATTTACCCCACAATCGAGTTTCCCGCCGCATCTACGGAACATGCGTAGCATGCCCCGCAGATCTGCGGACACGCTGCGCGCTCCTGGCCCGCAATCGGCGGGAAAGACAGATCTCGGGAGTGTGGGTGCATCGATGCTGCAGTTGCCCGCCTGCCGGATCTCTTAAAGGCCACCTCTGCCCCTCCCTCCCGCCCGCGCCGGGCCCGCCATGGAGCCGCCGGGTTGGGCCTTCCTCCTTCTCGCCCTCCTGGTGCCCCCGCGCGCCGCCGTGTCGGCGGCACTCCCCGCCAGGCGAGCCTGGGCGGCTCCCTCCTCCTCCTCCTCCTCCTCCTCCTCCTCCTCCTCCTCCTCTCCTCCTCCTCCTCCTCCTCCTCCTTCCTCCTTCCTCCTCCTCCCTCCTCCTCCTCCTCCTCCTCCTCCTCCTCCTCCTCCTCCTCGTCCTCCTCCTCCTCCTCCTCCTCCTCCTCCTCCTCCTCCTCCTCCTCCTCCTCCTCCTCCTCCTCCTCCTCCTCCTCCTCCTCCTCCTCCTCCTCCCCCTCCTCCTCCTCGTCGAGGGGGCACCTCCTGGCGCAGTCGCCTCGGCCGAGGCCGGCAGGCGCTACGTCCGCGGGATTCGTAGAGGCTCCCCGCCAGTATTGGCGGTGTGCCTCCACCGAGGGAAGAAGATCCTGATCTCGGTAATAACAGTAATATTCTGGCCTCCAAGGTGGCCGAAACATGACCACCAGCACCGAACTCTGGGATCAGCTTCCTCCTGTGGAGGCAACCCCCTGTGTTGGTGTTGGTGCCCATTCCCAGGTCTCCAGCGGCTCCCTCTCCCGAGTGCGCTCGGCACCCGCCGGAGCGGCCACGAGCGGCGGGCGCCCCCCGAGAGGCCCGGCTCGAGGGCGAGGGCGAGGAGGTTCGGGGCGAGGGCGTGCGAAGGGGCCCCAGGACACACAAATAAATACACACAAATAAAAATATTCCCCATATCTTCCTTCATATTCTGGGTCTCTGTCTTCCCCCCCCACTTCCCATATTTTCCCATATTTCCTGGAGAATCGAAGATTCATTGTGTCTGTGTGTTTCTTTTCCTCCTGAGCGAGGAGGTTCGACGTTTTTGAGCCCGGCGATCGCAGCCATGGATCAAGGGGGCGTGGATCAGCGACGGGCCCTGCTTCCACGGGAAGTCGCGGATGTCCGCCGCCGCGCGGGGCGGCACCGGCCGCATTCTGGGGCCGCCCCCGATCCATGTTTGTGCGCCCCCGGTTGAGGTGCCTTGCCAAGAGGCGTCTGGCAGTGCTCGGATTGCCCCGAACCGCCTCCAGAGACCCGAGTAAACACCCGAAAACCAGACCTTGGCGTCTCATTTGTTTTTCAAGCAGGGCGTTTCCGCACACTTTCGGACCTTGGGACCCTCACAGATCGATCCGGCTCGGAAACGGCGCAGCACGGGGTGGTCTTGGGCTCTGGTCGTGAATTTCCGCGGTGTCTATTTTTTCGCTATACGTCGGATCTCAAGGTCTCCGTATCCGCGCCTTGGCGGTCTTGATGCCGGAGCGCGATCCCCCGCGGACATGCGGCCGCACGGACACGTTCCGCACGGGGTTCTTTGGCTCGATGCGTCGGAGAGCCTGAGCGACTGCCTCGCAAGAGGCGAAACTGACAAAAGAAGGAAATGCCCCAACGCACGCGACCCGCTGTAAGCTCGGTCGCGAATAGGTTTTTGAGGCCACCCGAGTGCATCTCCCACCGGGGTCCATTCACAGCGGGCCCCCAGGTCCCTCCAGAGCACCATTCCTGCAAGTTCTCCAGAGGCTTCCGGGGGCCCCCTGCGAAGCAAGCGGAGTCCCGAGAAGAGTCAAACTTGGCAGCAGCCTTCCAGAACCGTTCACAGACCCCACCGCCTCGGTCCTCGGGGGCCGAGGGCAAACTAATCTATCCCCTCTCATCCTCACCCTCTCGGGGGCAACGATCCATTGCCGATCCATCGACGACTTATCGCCGGTTCCAGGTCGGTGGTTTCCCTTCTGAGCCAGCCCCCATCTATCGCTGCCCATCCCCTCTCGCACCGCCGTCTCCCTCCGCCCTCTCCGGTCGAGAGGCACGTGATGCTGGTGCAGCGGTCCATCCGAGTCCAGGCGGGCGCGGAGTTGGAGGGAGGGAGTGCGTGTGGGGGGGAGGGGGGCGACCTCTTCCTCCTCCTCCTCCTCTTCCTCCTCCTCCTCCTCCTCCTCCTCTTCCTCCTTCTCCTCCTCCTCTTCCTCCTTCTCCTCCTCCTCCTGGCGGCGCTGGCGGCGGGCTCGGCGGGCGTGGGGCTGGCGGCGGCAAGCCTCCCACTCGTGCCCCGTGGTGGCGTGGTGGAGAAGGTGGCGGCCGTGACGCTGGAGGCGCCGTGGTGCTCAGCGAGGAGCAGCGCTGTGGCTTCGTGTGCATGGCAGAGGCCGACTTCGCCCTCGCCGCCGCGCTCCTGCCCCCGAAGGTCCGCGAGCAGCTGCTGCAGGCGCGGAGGCTGCGTGAGGGCGGGCTGGGGGCCGAGCTGTCCAAGGACAAGACGGTCAAGGCGGCCCAGGTGCTGGCGGACGCCAAGGTCGTGCAGGTCAAGAAGATGGAGGGCCTGCTGGAGCAGGCGAAGGCCAAGGCGGTGGCTGCCATCAACGAGTCGGCCTGCCTCGCGGACAAGTTGGTGCTGCTGCGGAAGGAGTGCGACGAGGCGGCGGCCAAGGCACGGGAGGCGCTGGCGGCTCAGCGCGCCAGGATGGCGGCCGAGGAGGCTGAGGCGGCGGCAGCTGCCGATGAGCCGAGAGCAGCACCAGCGGCCTCCCTGGAGTCGATTCAGGAGGCGATCGGCCGCCTGTCGAGGGACGAGATCGCGAAGCTCGGGAAGGTGCTGGCGGAGCTCAGTGGCTTGCCTGGCGCTGCCGCCGCTGCGGGGGCGCCCCCCCGTGCGCCTGTGGCTGCGGCGGTCCCCGTGCCATCGGCGGTGCCTGCAGCTGCGCAGCAGGTGGACGCTCCCAAGGAGGAGGCGCCTGGCGTGTCGCAGGCGGCGGCGCAGGTGTGGCAGGACATCGCGTGCGGCATGGAGGACCCCGCCAAGAGGGAAGCAGCCGAGCAGCTGCTGGGCGACGCCAAGAAGATGCGGACGGAGGTCAAGCAGATGGAGGAGGAGTCCTAGCATGAAGTGCGGGGTCTGGAGGATCTGCACGGTCAACGTCAATGCGTTCTGCAACCTGGGCAAGTGCATGGCGGTGAGCGAGGTGCAGGACTGCGACGCCATTCTGGTCCAGGAGACGAGGCTCCTGGAGGGCAGGAGCAGTGACGCGGAGGCGCAGCTGCGGAGTCAAGGATGGAGGGCGAGAGGCACGCCCGCGGTGCCGTCAGCGGCAGGAGGCCTCAGCACAGGAGGCCTCCTCACAATGGTGAGGAGGAGCCACGGCATGGCGGAGGTGCAGGACCAGCAGGCAGCGGTGCTGGTGGCTGGGCGAGTGCACCTGTGTTGGGTGTCGGGCGTGCTGCGCAGCGGCTTCCTGCTCGCCAACATCTACCTGGAGGCGGGGGTCGGCCTCAACGACAGCAACGTGTCCAGCCTCAGGGGGCTGGCAAGGAGGTTGAGGCAGTGCCGCAGGGACTTCGTAGTGGGCGGCGATTGGAACCTCACGGAGGAGGAGCTGCAGGCAGGCGGGGTGCCCGACATGTTCGATGGCAAGGTGGTCAGGCCTGCATCGCCCACGTGCGCAGCATCAGGGAGGACCATTGACTTCTTCCTGGTATCCAAGGGGCTGGCTGCGTTGGGGGTGCGGGTGGTGGAGGCCTCGCCAGTGTACCCGCACTCGGCTGTGATTCTCGAGATCCGCAGGCAGCAGGAGGAGGAGCGCTTCAGGCTGGTCCAGAAGCCGCGGACCTTTCCTGAGGTTCGACCACAAGGGTGCTGTGAGAGGGACCACGGCAGCAGCTGGAGGCAAGCCAGGCTGAGGGTGCAGGAGCAGCTCGCCTCGGTGCTGAGGTTCGAGGGCGAGGCCGCGGCGAGGAGCACCCCACGTGCTGAGGAGGAGGCCCCTCAGCCCAGCAGCAGTGGTGGCGCAGCAGGACAGCGTGCAGCAGGTCAGGAGCCCCCCAGGCCAGAGAAGGGCACGGGAAATGAGGGGATGGCTGCGGCGGAGAGATGGGGGCCGCTAAGCAGCGTGCTCCCGATCGCTCCTGCGCCACCGGCCTGCGTGACGGAGGTGAACCTGACGAGGTGCTGCGTCCAGCATGGCGAGGAGTGGCAGAGCATCCTCGGCAACTGCGGGCTAAGGCGAGAAGCTGGCGCGGAAGGGCACGGCGCAGCACCAGGCGGTGAGGACCAGCCAGCGCACCTCGGAGCCCTGGCGCCAGGAGCGCAAGGCGCCGACGCAGCGGACAGAGGAGGCAGCGACGCTGCGGGCAACGCTGCGCAGGAGGCGCGGGCGGACATACCTCCCCATGCTGGGACTGGCAGTGCACCTCCGAGCCAGGCACTGTACGGAATCGCAGGTTGGCCCTTTCAGGTTGATGCGGCTGAAGGAGTGCACGTGAGGCCCCCCAGCCTCTGGGTCGAGAAGAGGCAGGCGACCTCTGCCGCCGAGGAGGAGGCCGCTCAGCCCAGCAGCAGCGGTGCAGCACCTCGCGGCGAGGCCCAGCCAGCGCACCTCGGGGCTCGGGCGCCAGGAGCGCATGGAGCCGACGCAGCGGAGAGTGAGGGCAGCAGTGCCGCGGGTAGCGCTGCGCAGGAGGAGCAGGCGGACATTCCTCCCCATGCTGGGACTGGCAGTGCACATCCGAGCCAGGCACCGTGCGGAATCGCGGGTAGTCCCCTTCAGGTTGATGAGGCTGAAGGAGTGCACGTGAGGCCCCCCAGCCTCTGGGTCGAGAAGAGGCAGGCAGCCTCCGCGGAAGGGGCAGGCCCTGCACCTGCAGCAGGACGTGCGGGCCCAGGGCGCCGCGGGGGAGGGGGTTAAGGGAGCCCTCACAGCCGCCTTCGCCACCTTCCTGGAGTGCGCGGAGGACGAGTGGGTCGACGTATACCAGCTGGAGGAGCAGAGGGCCAGGTACGTTGGTAGAGCGGACGGTTTCTCCACCAAGATGGTCAAGCGCAGCGGGGTGCAGGACCCCAGGTCGCCGAGGCTCACGCCTGAGGCGGCGTGGATGGCCAGGGTGGCCCACGCGCTGGGGGCCATGGCGCAGCTGAAAGCACCAAGGGCCAGGGTCGACGCGATCTGCTACTTGCCCCAGCTGGTGGCGGCGGCCCCGAAGAGAGTCAGGAAGCTGCAGCAGGACGAGGAGGCCCGCGCAGGGGAAGGAGGCGGCAACTCCTGCAGCATGGAGGCTGGGCGCTGGCTGAGGATGCTGCAGCATGGGGGCCTGGCGTGCTGGCACCCCCTGCTGCTCGAGAGGCTGGCCGACCGCGCGAAGCAGCACGCCAGTCACCTCGCCAAGCGCGATGTCGATGAGAGGGGCAGGCAGTTTGACGAGTGGGTTGGGAAGCAGCTCGCAGGAGGAGCGGCAGGGCTCCACGCGGTCACGCGAGTGGCGGTGGGCTGGCAGGGCAGCGACTGCAGCATCGATGCTGGACCCGCCAGCCTGAGCAAGGAGCTGGACGACCTTGAGAAGGAGTGGAGCAAGATCTGGAGGGTGCAGCGCAGCCACGCCGAGTTGGAGTGGCCGACCGATCTAGGTGAGCGCCCCCCCAGGCCCAGCTGCGAGGTGATGCGGGCAGTCCTGAGGTCCTTCAGGAAGGGCACGGCCACGGGTTTCGAGGCGATCAAGCCGAGGCAGCTGCTGGAGCTCAGCGACGAGGGGATAGAGACCCTCATCGACATCGTGGTGGCTGTCGAGCAGGCCGCGGAGTGGCCGCAGATCCAGAGCAAGATCGTGTTCTTGGCCAAGAGGCTGGGCGGCGTGCGCCCCGTGGCCATCGTGCACGTCCTCGCGAGGGTGCAGACGAGGTTACGCAAGCCCCTGGCGGAGGAGTGGGAGCGCAGGAATGATCGGCCGTTCTTCTGGGCGGCGCGCGGCAGGGGCTGCGAGAGGGCAGTCTGGCAGCAGGCCGTGGAGTGCGAGTGGGCGACAGCGAAGGGGCGCGAAGCTGGCGATGCATCCAGCTGGGTCGCGGCCCTCATCCTCCTGGACCTGCTCAAGGCGTACGAGCAGGTGCAGCATGGGCGCCTCATCCAGGCCGCCCAGCGGACGGGCTTCCCGCTCTGGCAGCTCAAGTTGCAGGTGAGTTTGTATCGAGCGCCCAGGTGGCTGGCGCGGGACGAAGCCGTCAGCAACGCCATCTGCACCGAGCAGGCGGTGCTGCCTGGAGACGGGCTGGCGACGCTCATGCTCAAGATGCTGCTGCTGGAGCCGCTGGACAAGCTTCAGGAGCTGGTGCCCACGCTGGCGATGTCGGTGGTCGTGGACGACATCATCTTGAAGAGGGTGGGCGGCTTCAAGCGGACAGTCAATGACCTCACGCTGGCGGCCAGGCATCTCAAGGTACTGCTCGGCGAGGCCGACCTGGAGATCGCGGTGAAGAAATCCAGGGCGCTAGCGAACGTGCCAGCAGCGAGGCAGGAGCTCGAGAAGCGCCTGATGAAGACGCTGGGGGTGCGCGCCACGGGGCAGGAGAGGAACTTGGGGGTCGACTTCAGTGGGGGCAAGAGGATAGGACGGGCTGTTCGCCACGACAGGATGGCGCAGGCGAGAGGCAGGCTGCGCAGGATCAAAGTGCTGCAGGTGGTCAAGGCCAAGCGGAAGGCCACCAAGAGGATCGTGAAGACGGGGCTGCACCCATGCATCGGGTACGGCACGGCCATCACGGGCTGCACGGAAGGGGAGCTGGACCGCGCCAGGACCCTCACGTTCGTCGCGGTCTCCAGCACCACGGCGAGCAAGTCCAGGTCGCTCGGGCTCATGCTCCAGGCAGGCCTCGACCCGATCTACGACGCGACCTGCAAGCCGGTGCTGATGTTGCTGCGTGCGGTCTGGGAGCAGTGGGTGCCGCTGCACATGGTGTGGCAGGGCCTCGAGGACAAGCGGCCCGTGTCCTGGGTGCACGTGCAGGGCCCGTGCGCGGCGACGGTGCTCTCCCTCAGGAGGATCGGATGGGACGTCGTCGCCGCCAACCGCTGGGTCATGG